GTTATATTACACGAATCGTCGCTCGTGCAGATGTTAAAATGCACATTCTGACATCCCCAATTTCATGGCAAGAAACGACCGATTTGTTTATGTTTATTTAAAATCAGAGTATTCTTTGTGAAGAATAATATTGCAGAATTTGTTCCCAAAAACATGATAATTATATTATCAAATCATTTCCGAAGAAATGTATTTTATTTATATTAAGAACCGTGGGATGTCATCGTCAATACAGTACATAAGCATAAACGGAAATAATGCAGGCCTTACAAACATTTATTATTCTACTGGCCTATAATCCATAAATCTATCATCTGATCATTGCACCTGTACTCTCATGCCACTACCTGAAATACAAGAAACTGAGTCGGTCAGACTTGAGATCCTGCTGAGCACATATGGTTTTTAACGCATAATAATTAAATTTTTTTAATTATATATTTATATCAAATGATTATACCCAATTACCCATTCCCAGTGTCCTCACTTTCTATCACTAAAGCATCTAATTCGAGGGACCTATCCTAAGGATCATCTTCAGAACAGACAATAATGCTCAAGGGATTCCTTAGCAATATATGTCAATAAGGCAACCGTGGGAGGATGGTGTACACCTGGTGAACACTTAGTTCAAAAATACCTACCGGTTTCGAGCCTGCTAGCATTCCACATAACTATCTAGAATAGTCTATGGTTGTCATCTATACTCCGCTAGACGACTACATCATCTTTAAAGTCAAGGCCTCTCATCATCTATAACATCTTTCATCTCTCATCATCTATATCTTCTTTTATCTATCCATCTCTACTCAATATATTTATAGGTATAAAAATACATATACAGTTTAAAATTACATATACAATTTAAAATTACATATACAATTTAAAATTACATATACTTCCTGAATATTTACTCTACAAATTGCATTAATTCTCTCTCTCTCTCTCTCTCTCTCTATTTCTCTCTCTCTCTCTCTCTCTCTCTCTCTCTATATATATATATATATATATATATATATATATATATGGGGTAAATTACACGAATCATCCCTCATGTAGGTGTTAAAATGCACGTTCTGACATCCCCAATTTCAAGGCCAGATAAGACCAGTTTGTTTATGCTTATTTAAAATCAGTGTATCCTATTTGAAGAATAATATTTCGAAATTAGTTCCCAAAAACATGATAAGAATATTATCAAAGCATTTCCAAGGAAAAGTATTTTATTTATATGAAGAACTGTGGGATGTCATCGTCAATATAGTACATAAGCATAAACGGAAATAATACATGCCTTACAAACATTTATTCTTTTATTGGACTATAATCCATAAATCTCTCATCTGATCATCACACCTGTACTCTCATGCCACTACCTTCAATACAAGAAACTGAGTGGGTCAGGCTTGTGATACTGGTAAGCACATAGGGTTTTCATGCAACAATAATTAAATTATTTTAATTATATATTTATATTAAATGATTCTACCTGAATACCCATTCCCGTTATCCTAACTCTCTATCGCTAAAGCTTCTAATTCGAGGTAAATATCATAAGGATCATCTTGAGGATATACAATAATGCTCAGGGGATTCCATAGTAATATATATAAATAAGCAAATGTAGCAGGATGGAGTACACTTGGTGAACACTTAGTTCAAAAACACCTACAGGTCGCAAGCCTGCTAGTGTTCCACTGCACAGTCTAAAATAGTCTGTGGTCGTCATCTATACTCCGCTAGATGACTAGATCATATTTAAAGTCAAGGCCTCTCATCATCTATTACATCTTTCATCTCTCATCATCTATATAATGTTTTATCTACCCATCTCTACTCAATATATTTATAGGTATTAAAATAAGTCTACAGTTTTAAAATTCAATATATCAACTTCCTGAATCTTTACTCTATAAATTGCATTAATTCTCTCTTTCTCTCTCTCTCTCTCTCTCTCGCTATCTATCTCTATCTCTCTCTTTCTATCTCTTTCTCTCTCACACGCTCTCTCTCTCTCTCTCTCTCTCTCTCTCTTTCTCTCTCTCTCTCTCTCTATATATATATATATATATATATATA